CATCACTAATCATTAGAGAAATGCAAATTAAAACCACAATGAGATATTGTCTCACACCAGTAAGAATGACTATTATTAAAAAGTCAAAACACAACAGATGCTAGGGAGGCTAAAAAGAAAAGGGAACACTTATATACTGTTGGTGAAAATGTAAATTAGTTCAGCCACTGTGGAAAACAGTTTGGAGATTTCTCAAAGAACTTAAAACAGAACCACCATTTGACACAGCAGTCCCATTACTGAGTATATATCCAAAAGAAAATAAATCACTCTATCAAAAGACACATGCACTCTTATGTTCATTGCAGCATTATTCACAATAGCAGAGGCATGGAATCAACCTAAGTGCTCATCAATGGTGGATTGGGTAAAGAAAACGTGTTACATATATACCACGGATTACTATGCAATGATGAGAAAGAATTCATGTCCTTCACAGCAACATGAATGCAGCTGGAGGTCATTACTCCAGGTGAATTAGTGAAGAGCAGAAAAACAAATACTACAAGTTCTTACTTATAAGTGTAAGCTAAACATTGGGTACCCTGGGCATGAAGATGACAACAATAGACACTGGGGACTAAGAAAGTCAGGAATAAAGGAAGGGGCAAAGCTTGAAAAACTAATTGTTGGATACTATGCTCACTACCTGGGTGATGGGATCATTCCTATCTCAAACCTCAGCATCAGGCAATATACTAATGTAACAAACCTGCAAATGTATCCCCTGAATCTAAAATAAAATTTGAATTTGTAAAAAATGAAATAAAGATTCAATTTTCCCAAAATATCATATTAGCAATGTAATAAGAATTATTACCATTTAATATATTAATACTAAAACACAAATATAAAATATTCATTCATTTTATCAGTCATTCAATAAACATCTATTGAATACTATATTCTAGGCACTTGGGATACGACAGTGAACAAAGATATAAAAAGTTTCACTGAGTTTACACCCTAGTAAGAGGAGACAGACAACAGAGAATGCATCAACAAACATATAAGTGTATAGAAGTGATAAATCATATGAAGAGCAATAAAACAGAAAATGGTTATAGAGAGTTATGGAGAAGTACTATTTTATGTCGGAGGGACAAGGACATGTATTTGAATAGAGACCTGAATGAAATGCACCCTAGTGTTCACTGGGGGAAGTCATTTCAAGCAGAAGGAATACTGGGTGAAACAGACTTGAGTGGAGAAAATGTCTGTCATGTCCAGGAACAGGAACATTTCTGACATGGTTTATTATGAGTTAAAGAGAGAAAGATCACTAGAGATTAAGAGTGAGATATGGTGTATTTGGGCTAGAGTGATGACTTCGAGCTTTATTCTGAGTGAGCCCCTGGAGGGTTTAGAACATGTGTGACATGATCTCACTTAAGCTTAAAAGGATCACTCTGCGTACTGTAGGTTGGTGGCTGTGGTAGGTGGACAGGTAATTTTAGAAGTAGGAAGACCAGTTAGGAGAGTATTTCAACAATTGTTGGGGAGAACATCTTGGGGTGGAACAGGGTATTAGTCGTGCTGTTTATAACACATGGTTTTATTCTGGATATATTTTAAATATATCTCTGATGTATTAGAAGAAGACAGTGACAGAAAAAGTTAAGGACCAGTCACAGGTTTTTGTCTTCAGTAACTGAAGGCTAGGAGGTGTCATATTCTAAGATGAAGAAAACTAGGGAATATATGGTGTAGAGGAGGAGCTCAAAGGTAGTGTTTTAGTCCTGTCGAGTTTCAGTTGCCTGTGAACCAGTTAGAGATATTGACTGGGTGGTGGATTCCTACGTCGAGCTGGTTTCCACTCTGATTCCAGTAGTCAGGATGCAGTTTGGTAAAGAGAATTATCTCTATTGTCCACGTATCACACATTTCCTAACCAAAGTAAATACATGTACGTATTCCATCTCTGAGTTTTCTGTAACATCTGGAAGAGCTAATAGACCTTCTATTTATGCTTCTCTGTTGTTTATCTTACTGTAATTAATTAAGATTAGCCTAAGCTCCTGAACATAGTAACAAAAGCACTAACCATGACCATCAATTGACTTTTTTACTCTGTGCCAAACACTCTTCTAAGTATTTTATAAGATTACAGTCCTTGCCAAATGCGTATTTTATTTCAAATGTACCAAACGCATAGCTGAGGCTTTAAAATGTCAAATCATTTGCTCATGGTTACATGGATGATAGGTTTAAATAATTATAAATTCTATGTTCTTAAAGAGCATTTGTAATCATACTGTAGATTTTGACACAAATCATTTCTCCCTTTTATGTAAATTTTCCCCACCAATAACCACAGTGAAGCAATATAGTGAGAGAAGCCATTTTATTCAAACAAAGTAACTAAAAAAACCTTAGTGATTTCTACCACCAGGAAAGTATTTCTCTGTTTTTTGTTGTTGGTGGTGTTATTTTTGGATTTTTGTTTGTTTGTTTTTGGTCTCACTCTTCCTACGTGGACATCGCTGACCTGCACGTATCGAAATATGAATAGCACTCTCCTGCTCTGATCTAAGACGTTCCGGCTTTCACAGACTCCCCCATCCTGTATATAATACCTATCATTGTGCCCCTATTCCTAAACAGTCTAATACTTTTATATTCAGGTTTTTGACCACTCAACAATACTCTTCCATTAAAGTATTGCTTTGAAGGGTTTAAAATCTCTTGACAATTCTGGCTGCCATTCCAGGAAGTTGGCCGTGAGAGATGGGGTGGTTTTTAAGAGGGTATGAAGCTACGGTACTGCATGTGAGCAAAAATTGCAACTGATGGCTTTTGTTTACTGTTTATAACTTTGGACAGTTGCAATTTAATTGCAAATAAGGATATTAGCTAATAATTAGGTGAAATTCCTTGTATTCATTTCAAAGGGAAAAAAAGGAAAGAGTGATTGCATCATGTTTTGGGCACTATTTTAGCCAATCTGTTCTATCACACCTCTGGGTTTTCATAAAGATGGAACTTAAACTCCACCAGTGATTAGGGAACTCATCCAGGAGCTGTGTCAAATACTTTGAATTTACTTAAAAAAAAAACCAAACTTGGTTTTATTAAAAAAAAAAAAAAAAAAGAACACAATCTGGGAAACAAAAGATTATCTAACTTTTTCCATCATTACACAGAAAGTAAATAACGCCTCTGAAACTCAGAATAGGCCTGCCTGATCACAAAGCATGATGATGGTAGAATACATATGAGCAATAGATCTATTGCTTTAAATCTTTAAATTTAAAGCAATAGATTTAAATTTATTGCTCATATGTATATGCCCCTTTAAATCTATTGCTCATATGTATTCTACTATCATCATGCTTTGTGATCAGGCAGGCCTATTTTGAGTTTCAGAGGCGTTATTTACTTTCTGTGTAATGATGGAAAAAGTTAGATAATCTTTTGTCAAATACTTTGAATTTACTGATCCACTTTTAATCTGAAGTCATGTTCACCTGACTCTAAACTTTGACTATTTATGACAATTTAGACTTCTGCCATTAGCCCCTTTAAATCTATTGCTCATATGTATTCCACCATCATCATGCTTTGTGATCAGGCAGGCCTATTTTGAGTTTCAGAGGCGTTATTTACTTTCTGTGTAATGATGGAAAAAGTTAGATAATCTTTTGTTTCCCAGATTGTGTTCTTTTTTTTTTTTTTTTAATAAAACCAAGTTTGTTTTTTTTTAAATCAAATACAAGTGTATATGTGTAATCTCTTTTATACATATGTTTTCACTCATAAACACAGTCTCCTTTAAATGACAACTACTCTGCAATTGGGAATGTAACAAAATTAAAGTACAAGAAACACATGCCATAGAAGCTGTAAAATAGTAGATGTTCAATAAACATTATTAAATTTTAATATGTAAATTAAATGCATATTAATTTATAATTCTGACGGAAAAATGTTTTCTGTTACAATGATTCAAAAGATAATTTTTTAAAAAAATTATCATTTATTTCCAGTACATTGGGATAAAAACCCACTTTATGCAACTGTACCCTTTAATTCATTTTTCCTTAAGAAAAGTACAAAAGACCAGACTAAAATTGAGACAAGCATTTAAAGGAAAAAATCCTTTGACTCAGAGTCCAAAAACAAGCTGTAAATGGTTCATTGTTCCAAAAGAATTAGTTTTTATACATAATATAAAGAATTTTACACTATAAACAAAGACTGCTGTACATGTACTTAAATTAGAATTCTGATATCTGCTTTTCCTCTAATTCTTCTGGAGCACAAAGCATATTTGCAAGTCAGAAATCTAATAATCTCAAAGGACAGACTGTCTTAGAATAAGCTTTTACCCTTAAGATACCTGGAAAGATAGTACTCATTCTTTCCCTTGGCTCAAAGTCCAATATATCAGTAAGTTTTAATTAGTTTACAAAATTCTGCCATATTAACATGAAGAGCACACTAATGCTTAATGTTTAAGCGTTAAAAAGATAGCTTTTGACATGTACATATGAGCATGTATATTGAATCAAATATGAATGTATGTGTGTAATTTCTTTTATATATGTTTTCACTCATAAACACAGTCTCCTTTAAATATTTTCTATATTACAGAAAGCTTTGCATTTGAAACCACAAAGATTTTGTTATACTAAAAATAGCTATTAGAATACAGTATTTATTCATTAAAATGTGAGTAATTTATCCATATGTGGGGGATCCACGTGTTTCAAAAAAACTATAAAAGTCAAAACTTTAAAGGAGAATTTTAAATGATGATGAACACTTTAAGCAAAATATCATTATGGAATTGTCTGATTACTTCTCCAACTGTCCAACAAGGAACTAAACGACTTTAAGAAAACCGAAATGTTTTCTGCGTAGTCAAACTTTCTGTAAAGTGTCAATGACAAGTGGTGTAATAGTACATAAAATTTGGGTTGTTTTGTCAGCTTTGACTGTTCTTATGCCTTTTAACAATTCTCCTAACGGCTCCATTGATCTCTGTGTTTGTTTGACAGGCACTGTCACAAGTGACTCTCCTTCTGAGAGTTTGCTTCATTATCCTGACCTTGACTTCCATTGGATTTCTTCTGGATCAAAGGCAAGAAGTGAAATTCTTGCATTGTTTTTACTTTTACTCAATTCAAGAATTTTCCACAGAGTGGTAAAATATCAGTATATTCTGTAACTTTATAGTGTAGTTTAAAAAATAAATATAAAACTTTGATATTTGACTTTTCATTATTTTAGAGAAGTTAACTATATCAGTTATCCTAACTACTCATTTTTTAAATGAATGAAGTATGAAGACATTCAATCAGTGAAGAGTCTCACTTACTTTAAAACCTAGAAATTTAGTTGCATAATATTTTATTTATTAGCTGAAAATAAACTTCATAACTCATCAATGCTCAAACTAAGCAATATGTTGATAAAGAACAGATTTTCCCAGGCCAGACGCAGTGACTCACGCCTGTAATCCCAGCACTTTTAGAGGCCGAGGCGGGCGGATCACGAGGTCATGACATCGAGACTATCCTGGCTAACAGGGTGAAACCCCGTCTCTACTAAAAAATACAAAAAAAAAAATTAGCTGAGTGTGGTGGCGGGCGCCTGTAGTCCCAGCTACTAAGGAAGCTGAGGCAGGAGAATGGCATGAACCTGGGAGGTGGAGCTTCCAGTGAGCCGTGAGCCGAGATGGCGCCACTGCACTCCAGCCTGGGCGGCAGAGCAAGACTCCGTCTCAAAAAAAAAAAAAAAAAAAAAAAAGAACAGATTTTCCCTAAAAGGATGAGTGTTCTTTCTTAGTTTAATCACTGTTTTCAAATAGCTTCGGGGGATATGCTTTTCAAATATATTTAAATACTAGGTATTTCTTGAGAATGAAAAGTTTATCTCTATATTAATTATAACATGTAAACATATAAAGAGCATATTTAAAGCTAATGTATGTAATGACATTTTATTTCAGACCCAAGGCAGCTTTTATGGAAACTCTCCGTTGCTTGATGTTCCTAATGCTGTACAGATTTGGTCACCTGAAGCCTGTAGTCCCTTCCTTGTCATCTTCTTTTGAGGTAAGACATTTGTTTTAGGTAGCCGCAGGACGGCGTATACCTACCGCACATTTAATTTATTCATTCAATGATGTTTTCTCTACTTCATTTCTGACCGGTACTTGTGGGAAATCTTGACCTTTTTTTTTCTTACTTACCAGTACTTGTTAGTTGTGTCATCTGAGCTAGTTAATATTGATGAGCCACAGTTTTTTACCCCTAAAGCTGGATTGATATCATTAACCTCAGAGAGTTGTTGGACACATTACATTACACAACCTTTATAAAGAGATCAGACCATGTAATAGGTTCTCAAGAAGTGGAAGAATTGATTTTGCAAGAAGTTTTTGGCAGAAACTCTGCCATTTGAGATTTTTTTAAAACTTTTAAAGTGAAAATTGTGAACAAGTTTCCTTGTCAGTTACCTATAAAAAGTAATCATTCTACGGAAATAAAGTCACTGAAGTCAATGAGATTTTTCTACAACTGAAAAATATGATCTTCTGTGATGGTTAATTCTTATCTTCCAAGAACTGCATTGAACTTTTGGGTATATATTTATTGTTTAGAATCTGGGCAGCTGTTAAAGACATTTATTTTCTCATCACTAGTGCATTAATAGACAGTGCATTATGTTTTTAATTAAGGGTTATACTGTTTAACTTTGGTGCCAAGACACCTGCCAACATCACCAGAATGTGCAATGTGTAACTTTATTTAAGCATTAAGCATAAATACTAATATCCCCCTCTCTTAGCATCAGTGAAAAACCCAATATATACACTTTCATGATTTAGTATTGATTATAAATTGAAACAACTCTTTTGGATGATACCTATCAAAATTGCAAATAAACACACCCTTTAACCCAGCATTTCACTTCTAGGAATTTGTGCTACTGAAATGATATGCTCACACACATGCGAATTGGTGTATATGCAATATTATTCATTGTAGCATTATTTGTTATGACATAAGATTAGCAACAATTTAATGGCCATGAATAGAGGACTATTTAAAAATTATTATTCATTAATAAAGTAGTAAAATATGTATCAATAATAAAACAGGAAACCCTTTAGTACCAATAGGAAGCAATCTTAACAATAAAACATAATCCAGGATTCCATGTGAAGTTTCCTGCCTTACAATGTACATAAGTATAAAAACAGTGAGAGGGAGATATAGGTATATAAATGTATAAATGTATTTTATTGTATGTATGTAAATATATCTAGGAAGATAAACAAAACCTAACATGTTGCTTGTGGGAAGGAAAGGTGAATTTTGTGGTTAGAAGAAAGGAGGAAGCAAAAGATTCTTTACTAATATTCTTTGATACCTTTAAAACTTCTAAACTTCTAAACCATGGGGGTATATATACACGTTATACACAAAATGTGAATTTAAACCATGAAGCATACTATCTTAATATCAGGATCTTAGATATCATCTAATTTAATATATTCTGCATTACAGTTGATTTATTGTGTATATTTATTTTGTCTTCAAATTATAACCTAAAAGCAAAATAACCATACATTATACATATTTAATGAAATTCAGAAATACACATGCTGAAAAAAATCATAAAATCTAAGAAAATGGCAGTTTAACACCCTAGATGAGGGCACATTCTAATTTAAAGCATGAAAGACAATAATTTCATTTAATGAGAGTACTCTTAGGTTTATGGTGATAGTTTATCTTACACACTCCAGAAGCAAATAGAGAACATAGGTTCCTTAAATTAGCCAATGTTGTAAACATGTGGGAATGTGTGCTTACAAAAACATACCGCATTTGGTATTCTTTGATGATGAGATGGTGGAGGGCAATGTAGTATGTCCAGCTTTTAAGCATGATGAACTCTAGTGATAAGATGATGTCAGTTATTTAGTTAATAGATGAAGGTGAATGGTAAAGACTTGAACTTTGAAGCCATATTGCCTGAATTTGATTCTTGGCTTAAGAACTAAGTAGCTGTGTGTTCTTCGGCAATTACTTCACCACTTAACTATTCTTGGTCTTGCTTTCCTCATCTGTAAAAGGAGGAAGTATAACATCCATCTAAATAGGATTTTGAGGATTAAGTAAGAGAATATGTGTAAGGAATTTAGCACAGTGATTAACACATAGTAAGTGCTCCACAAAAGTTAGGCACTGTTATTATTGTTATTTTATATTAACTTAAGGATCATTTGAAATAATTCTTTGGCCTTGGCCTGCCTTCAGGTCTACAAGTCAAGTTTGGAGACAGCTAGAATGAGAAGTGGGGAAGAACAACAATTTTGAAGGAAATGTCAGAGCTATGAATTCTTGGTCTGACACTTACTCTGTCTGTGACTTTGGACTCTGTGCCTCAGGTTGTTCAACTGTAAAATAGGTTTAATAAGAGCAACATACATTGAGCTCTTACTATGTCCTAAATGCCTTACTAGTATTATTCCATTCAGTATTCATATCAAACCTATGATGTAGTTACTTCCATTATCTTCATAATGAGAATACTGAGGGGTGTACACAACTTATCTAAATGCACATAACTATTAAGTGAGTAAGTCAGGGAACAAACTCAGGAAGTCTGACACTATAACTCTTAATGATCAAGATACATTTTCATCCATGTAATGATAACAATACTCGTCTACTTCAAGGGTTATAGCAAAATATAGCAAAAGTAGCTTGGAAAATGTGAAGAGTTATAATAAAATGTCTTATCAATTTAACTCCAAACGAGTTTTGAAGAGACAAGTGGTTTGAATAATTTACCTCTGAATTATCTTTGGTTTATGATTCAGGGAAAATAGAACCTCATGGAAAAATCTTTCAGAGTGCTTAGCTACTCTTTCCATAAACTACTTCTGTCCATCTGGGCACATGCATGGCCAGTTCTTCAAGAGTAGATGTTGCCTGTGATTTGTCACTAGAATTTTTCTTTAAAATGATGTTAAAACAGTATTTAATTCACATGGTTTGGTGGAAAAATGAAGTGCCACAAAGGAGAGAACATAGGAAGAAATTGATAAATTACAGTTATCATTGTTCATATTACCATTATTAGAGTATTAGTATTATTATTATTATTAAACTAAGCCATTAATGATTAAACTTGAGCAAGTCTTCTCTGTCAAGAGGTCGAGATGGCAGCGTAAGACTGGATAAATATTTTGCTAGCGACCTTTCTTTTTTAATCTGGGAAGTAGCCTTTTCTTTCCACTTCTTTTTAAAGCTAAACATTGTAAAATTACAACCAGTTACCAATTCTTATATTATTAATTATGTATTTTCTTCACATTTGTATCTCTTAAAACTTTGTGTAAATCTTTGCCATTTATCACAGTTTTAATAAAATTGTTCTTTTATTAAATTCCCTTTCTCCTATAATATAAATCAATGTTGTATATATTGGTGGCATCAGCTTGTAGCCCTGTGACTCTTCTCTATGTAGAAGGCTGGCTAGAGATTTCTGTTATATTATTTTATTATATAAGTCAAACTCAGTAAGTCTGCATGGTAATAGTCTTCCTACATTATTTGAGAGGCATGTGCCTATCAAATTTATAGTTATCCTCTTTCTGGCAAAGTTATTCATCTGTTTTGCATAAACAAATAAACAGTTTGATGCAGAGAAAACAGATTATAAGAAGATATAACCACACTTCATTAGTGGTTATGTTATGTGTTGTTACCTAAATGGTTTTATTCTTTCTCTCATTTTTTAAAATTTGGTGATGAATGTATTCTTTAATGAACATAGATGCCCTTTAATCTAAAATCTCAAAACCTTTTTTTTTTCCAACTAAATTTACACGTTGAGAGTTTTGTGATAGGTACTGAGAGGAAATATTTGAAAGATATGGCTGCATGACCCTAGAGTTGTCACAGTTTCAAAGACACCATCATGCTGGTGACAGTGACAGTGAGCAGCCCCCTGTGGAAAGAAGCTGCTTCTAAGCTGTGTGGCCAGTGTCCTATGACTCCTATTCATATAAGGCATCACTTAGTAACAAATGATTTCCAGAAACCATGATTCTTTAAAAATGCCAATATTCTAGCTGTAGCCGGCTGGCATCACGAAGGTGATGAAGACATGGGAATTGCTTTGCCTGTTTATTTCTACTTTATTTATAATTTATCAGGTTTTTTTCTTCTTATTTGCTTGAGGATCATAACCTGATTTATCTGCATATGTTCTCAGGTGTGGGCACGAGGGCAGGCATACACACTTTTTATTAATCTCAAAACTGCCTACCTTAAGAAATGACCGTATCCTGGCAGTTATTATAGCTTTTGTATCCAGATGACCCTTAAACAACATGGGTTTGAATGCACAGGTCAATCTATACGTGGATTATTTTTCAGTAAATATTACACTAACTGTGCCTGTCTCTCTGGCCTCCTCTTCCACCTCGTCCACCTCCTCCACCTATTCCAACCTCTGTCACTCCTGTGATAGCAAGACTAAACCCGCCTCTTCCTCCTCCTTCTCAGACTACTTAACACGGAGAAGATGAGAAAAAAATACCTTTATGATGACCTACTTCAACTTAATAAAAAATTTTCTTCCTTATTATTTTCTTAGCACTTTCGTTTCTTTAGCTTACTTTATTGTAAGAATACAGTGTATCATACATAAAATAAAACATACAGAATATGTGTTAATCATCTGTTCATGTTATCACCAAGGCTTCTGGTCAACAGTAGGCAATTATAAGCTACATTTTCGGGGGAGGTGAAAGTTATAGGCGAATTTTTGACAGCACAGCGTGTTGGCCTCACTAACCTCCGAATTGTTCAAGGGTCAAGTGTACTTATTGGTAACAATGTAATACTTCCTTTGAAGCTTATAGTTATTTTAATTTTGTTATCAGTCATTTCAACCAGATTTTTGAGTACCTCTGTCTGCTTTCATTTCTCTTCTGCATAATGAGAATAATAATAGTAGTACCTACCTTGGCGGGTGGACGTGCAGATTAAATAAGATTATACATACAAAAAGTGCTTATTATAATGTCTGTAAATGTGCAGTATGTTGTGCCGACTCCACCAAATGCTTCAGTTAACTAACATTACCACTTCTATAATTACTACTGAGAATATATTAAAAGCACAGGCTGTAGGGCACCTGTGATGATTCTTAGTAAGGAACACATTAGTATAAGTTCTCCTTGTCCCAGTTAGTTTCTCTGAGTATTAAAAATGTCTTTGGAACATGAATTCATAGCATTTTTCTATAATTCAAATACACTATCATATGGAAAGGTTTCAGGATTTTTTGTAATTTATGATTTCATATATCACAAATAAATCATGATTGCAGTGATCATGTAACATACAATAAAACATTTTATTTAGAACTTGTTTGGCAAATGTGGATTACTCAACCCAGCTTAGTGAGAAATGAACAGAGGTAGGAGTTTAGTTGTTGACTGTATTTTAGGATAAATAAAACGATGGCTCTAAGACACAGCAGATAACTTTGTTTCTAACTGAGTCATAGAACTGCTTGCAAAAAATTTTACTTCTACCAAAAAAAAAAAAAAAAAAAAGATATATAGTAGGCTGCTTGGATTCTTCTCAATGTTTATATTTAAGGTATTTCATTTTAGGATAAATAAAACGATGGCTCTAAGACACAGCAGATAACTTTGTTTCTAACTGAGTCATAGAACTGCTTGCAAAAAATTTTACTTCTACCAAAAAAAAAAAAAAAAAAAGATATATATGTAGGCTGCTTGGATTCTTCTCAATGTTTATATTTAAGGTATTTCATTTTTACAAATGTAAATATGTTTCTTTTAAAAGAAATGTTTTCACTACAGTAATAGAAAACCACACATTAGAAACACCCAAAGCATAAATTTAAAACGTCATCAAGTTCTGAGAAAAAATTAAAGGAAATATGAGTAAAAATAATAAATCTAATTAATTTCTTTCTTTTTTCTTTTTTTTTCTTTTTTTTTTTTTTTTTTTTTTTTTTTTTTTTTTTTTTTTTTTTTTTTTGTTTTGTTTTGTTTTGTTTTGTTTTGAGATGGGGTCTTGTTCTGTTACCCAGGCTGCAGTGCAGTGGCGCGATCTCGGCTCACTGCAAGTTCTGCCTCCCGGGTTCACACCATTCTCCTGCCTCAGCCTCCTGAGTAGCTGGGACTACAGGCACCCACCACCATACCCGGATAATTTTTTGTTTTTTTTTTTTTTTTTTTTTTTTTTTTTTGAGACGGAGTCTCGCTCTGCCGCCCAGGCTGGAGTGCAGTGGCCGGATCTCAGCTCACTGCAAGCTCCGCCTCCCGGGTTCACGCCATTCTCCTGCCTCAGCCTCCCGAGTAGCCGGGACTATAGGCGCCCGCCACCTCGCCCGGCTAGTTTTGTGTATTTTTTAGTAGAGACGGGGTTTCACCGTGTTAGCCAGGATGGTCTCGATCTCCTGACCTAGTGATCCACCGCCTCGGCCTCCCAAGGTGCGGAGATTAAATCTAATTAATTTCTAAAACTCCATATCTGAAAATAAAATCCTTATAAAAATGGCATTGAATAGGATCATCGGTAATATGGGGATATTTATCTTAATGCCATTGTTAAAATCATTTCTATCATTTCCATCCCAATCACTGTTTTATTTTTAAAATGTTATATTTAGGTCATCATCCCCAATACTTCAAAGAATAAAACCAAAGCAAGCAAAATTAAGACAGGTAGAACAGACCTAAAACTCAGAGAGGCGCTTCCTTCTCCTTCTCTTGGCTGGTGTTGGGTGCCAGAGAGTTACCATGAGGACATGTTCTGAGAGTTTCTGTCAATGTCAGAGAATACGGGAATTTGAGTTATCTAGGAGTAGGTTTGCGTTGCTTCCTTCTCAATGGTTCAGAAGTCCCTGCGAAGCTCAGGAGAGTAGAAGTTTAAGGTCTTTCTATCTTTGGGAGGGACTGATTTTGACGTGCAGAAAATCCCACCTGCATCTAACAAGGGAATCCCTGGAGGGATTCTTACCCTCCTAGGTCACCGTTCTGACTGAAATTATGTGGAGTACCACCATTAACTAGAACGTATCTCACCCTTTAGGAAACACCCTACTTGTCTTCCAACTCTGGAATCTAATTACTATGCCTTCTTATTAGTTGTCCTTTCCACATTATTATCTTGTCTGGGCAGCTCTTTTGAAAAAGCATTAACCCAAGGTTAACAATTTCCTACCTCAGCCATTTTATGTGCAGAAGAAACCAACACTCACAGCAGCAAACTTAAGACTCTTCAATTTTTATTGACTTATTCAATAAATATTAAATGTGCACTGACAATAACCTGCTATGTAGCTGTTACATACCAAACTTCAGAAGAACACACTGTGGTTATTTCAACTCTAAATAGAATGCTGAATTAAATGTTTATTGACTTCAAATTGCAAGGGATGCATATTCAGATGTCTCTTTTTACCCAGTTAATATGTCAACATATATGTATCAGAAAATGAAGGAAGATTCACCAGTTCTTAGCAAGCTTCATACTTTCATGGGTTCTTCCTTTTCCTGTCTTGCTTTCTTTCTCTTCCTTTTTTTCTTTGGTATGTATGTATGTGTTTATTTATTTGGTAAAATTCAGGCTTCCTTGGCGTTTATCTGTTTTTGCATGACTGAAGACTGCATCTGCAAGGCTTCTTGAAGACTAGGCTCAGGAACTCTATATACTTCTGCCACATTCCATTGGTCAAACAAATCATCAGACCAGCCAAAAATCAAAGGGTGGGGAAATAAACCCTTTGATTAGAAGAGCAGTAAGATCCATTGCAAAAGGGCACACATAAATGTATGGCCTTTTATTGGTCTACCACACTGAGGTTACATATATTTACTTGGGTTCATTCCACAGTGGTGATTAGTGTGTTGTCATCACAGAATGGTTGTCTGAAGTCATCTTAAACGAGTCATTTCAACTGTTTATCTGGCTACAAGATGAATGTAAGGAATAGACTGTCCTCAAAACTGTTTCATGATATGTATGCTAGTCTGCTAGATACATACTTTTGGGTTCAAAATGAAACACACACACACGTACACACACGAATATTCATAGTATAGAGCAATTTTGACTCATCTATTTCAGTATTATTCAAACATCTATTTTTTTTTTTTTTTTTTTTTCCTGAGATGGAGTCTCGCTCCTTTTGCCCAGACTGGAGTGCAATGGCGCAGTATCGGCTCACTGCAACCTTCTGCTCCCAGGTTTAGGCGATTCTCCTGCCTCAGCC